TTGCTGCGGGAAAAAAGCATCTATGGGTAGCCCGGTGTGCTTTGATGTCGATTCCTAAATCAATAAATCAGTACAGGAATATAAAAATACGCAACATAATGTACATAAAACTATTTGTGTTGACTTAAGGCGAAAAGGAGGTGGAAGAGACAGATAATCACTGCCACGCAACATGCATGCAGTATGCAGTAGAAAACGACAAATTAACGGCTACCTGAAACCTGACATGTTAGCGCAAAGTTTAGGTATCGCATTCTAGTTATACAATAACAACTGAAGGCCAATGGAAGTTTTACGGGGGGAAAAAAACATTATTTTCGCCAGTGCTACGGAGTTCGTGCATCTGTGCGAAACTATCCTAGAGTTAACAGACGACTCCCGCTGCATATAATGAAACTAGGAAGAAAATCTACAGCAGGCTAATAAGAGAAACTCTCTGATGTGCTCTCTTGATGATATACAGCCTGGTGAGGAATAGATACAATTGCCAATAGAGTGCTTTATTACCTTTTCTGTCTGAACCCAACGAGACAGCATATACAGACAACAAAGTCCCGCCGTTGTTGAGGCAGAAGATCAGGCCTTGATGTTCGATGGGAATTTGCCATTTATACAGATGGATCTGTGGTACGCCACATGAGAAGCTCATAGGCTTTTACAGCTCAGGTTCGAGTAAGAACTGCAAAATTCTGGTGTTTTCGTCTTGCCTGCAAGCAGTCTGATATGGAGATGTTGGCAGTGACCAAAGCAATAACATAGCGTCTCAGACGCAAAACATTACCCGCGAATGTTTTCTTTCTGATCTAATGAGTATGCTCAGGAAAAAAAAAAGAGATGGATTGGATCTGAAGACAGTGGCTGGAGTCTCCGAGGCGGTGAGTTTCATATTCATACCAGAGCGCACAGGCGTGCAAGAAAACGAGCAAGTCGTTAGCCTTGCAGGTAAAGCTACCGTGAAGGGCGGGCGTGCCACGGACCATGTTGATATCATTCTCTACGAGAAGTGAGATGTTTGCAAGAACCAAATGATGACTGCTAACATGCAAACATGACCAGATTGCAAGAGAAAAATTGTAAAAAAGGTGTGGCCAGATAAGAGCACTATGCAGGAAGCCAAAGAAGAATAGGAAACCAACTAGACAAGACTACTGTCAACAGTCGCTGTACGCTGCGGTATTTATTCATTAGTGTGTCCGAGCACTTATGGACTGAATGGTTTGATGTGCAATGCGAATAAACTGTAGACAAACCGTCCCCATCTTCAGCAGCAAACGAAGAGTTCCAATTCCGATGGCAACAGTAACTGTCTGTTTGTGTATCCGTTTCGCCTTTCTCTGAGTGTTCAGCATCGGCCAGATCCACTGGCAACTTCTCGCACCGCCACTCTCAGATATAAAACCTAAAATAAATTTACCGAGCTTGCACACAAGTCAAATTGTGTCTTCATGATGATGATGATGATGAAGACTACGATGATAATAAAAGAAGAAGGAGAAACGGATGACGATGAGAAAGAATTATAGATAACATCACTTTGTATCAATAATTGCCATGTTTCTGACCTCGTGCCCGGCTCTCTAGTGTAATTGGCAAAACCGGATTGCGCGGAAACCGGGTGACGTACTCCTTGTGGTCCGGGTTCAATCCCGGGGGTAGGCAAAAAAGCCACATTTTCTACCAGATTTACGGTATTTACAATGGAATCAAGGCCGAAAGGTTGCGATATCCATAATACCGAGCCTAAGGGTTAACAACTCTTGGCTTCTGGATACGAAAACAAACAAACATCAAACATGATCACGTATTGAATGTGGTACACATCTAAAGTGTGAACTGCTTAATATGAAAAGTTATAAATAAAATCTAAATCGGGACTGAAATATTTTTATTTCTAATATATTTATTGAAAAGAAAGATCAAAATTATTCCAAAATATAAGTTCTTTAAACATAAATCACCCAAAACTTGGTTTATCTTGCCAGTATGTTATACGCCATTTCTGTGAGTTCACCAACTAATAACGCCAGCGGACAATTCTGGTTGTTCGTCCACCTCATAACTTTAGTTTTGCTTCAGAACCTAAGTGTTTCATGCACATCCGTTCCACACGAATGTTTTTTTATTGCGAATTTAAGGTTCACCGTCTCTCAAGCAGATGTAACCGGACTTTGAAAGATGCCCACAATAAGTCATCTTCTGCGTCATGATCTCACAATGTGGCCCCACAACCCCCACAACTCAAAAAGGGAGGATGAATAGCCGAAATAATAGAATTGTACAACGAAGTATAGCAACAGTACTATCTTCATCTTAACTTTGACTGGATGTAAAATTCCGTGACGACTTCTGGTTGTTCCGCCACTGCTGGACTTTGGAGTGATCCAGAACTTTTGTTTTGCAAGCAAATCCCTTTTACATATCTAGCATATTTGTATGCACACTATTGGTTCCTGTCTTCTCAGGCAGATGCACACCGACTCTGAAGGAAAGACCTATTATTAGTTGCCTTTTATGACATGCTTGTTCCTTTAGAAAAAGGGAGGGGGTGCGGATAGAAAGGGGGCAGTTGATGTAGTGTCTGTTCTCAAAAACTGAGACCTCTGAACCCAAAAGAGGAAACAGTATTTAGAAAGATCTCGATAGACTTTGACCATGCTGGATACATGCGGTAGGGATTTATGAAACAGGCACTGCTAGGGGAAGCAAATTGATTGAGGAAGTGAGCGCTTTCAGACAAACCTTGATAAGAATGCTGTGTGAGAGGCCAAAGGTGCTGGAAAAGATTCAATCCATGATATCGAAAGCATTGCACAGGAAAGAAAGGAATGGGAGCTAGAATGTAATTTAATGGTAACGTATAACCTCACAATAGGTCGACGGTGACGAGAATGATGACAATGATAATGATGATGCCGATAATCAGGATGATGCTGATGATGATGAGGATCATGATTATGATGACGATGACGATGATAATGATGATTATGATGATCACGATGATGATGGTGATGATAATGATGACGATGATGAGGATGACGATGATGACGATGATGATGATGCAAAATTAAGTCTGGACACCATCACTTACCAGACCTTGATCGTCATCATCATCATCATCATCATGTCTGTCGTGTTATGCCATGACATATCATACAGGCCTCACAGTTTTTTTCTCAACAGTCCGGCATATTCTGTGCAGTCTGTTTCTATATAATAGACTGAATTCATTCGAGGACCTTTGTTTTCTATCACTAACGTCCAATTTAGGGTTTCCCTTGGACTTATTCCCTTCTATAATTTTTAATTTTAAATTGTAGTGCCTGCTTGGTGATTTTCTGCTCGTTTCTTCTCGGGATGTGCCCTATATACCTCTGAAGTCTTTATCTTATTCCTGATGTTGCCAGTGGTTGCCCATCCACTTCATTTGTTTCTTTTCCCCTCCTCAGTTCATCCCTTTGTATGTTCAACATTTGCCTCAAATATTTGTTCCTTTAATGCATTTCACTTTCGTTCAAGATCAGACATTACAAGTGCTAAAAAAATGCAGACTCAAAGATTCTATTAGGCAGGTTCCGTGGTGAGAGTTCTCTCCATAGATCTACCGATAACCTTATACTCCACTGTGTTGTACCCTCCTGTGCGATTTTTGTTAGTTCATCTCTTCATGTTATCCTCTCACTTGCATTATTGTCTACCTCTTGATCGCTTGCCTTCGCTTTTCCCAATAGTGTGGTTATTAACAGTATCGAGACGTTAAACATCTTTGAAACATTCCACACATCTCTGTTATAATTTCCAGCACCTTTCCTTTCATTTCTTAAACTTAATTGAGAATAAACACAATACAAGTAAAATATTTGGACTGATTTAAAAATCCACTTGGCTCGTGAAGCCGCACTGATTACTTTCATGAACAAACATATTTTTTGTTGTGTTTACAAAATATTTTACCACTGATGATCTAACGACATACTGTCAACCCAAAATGTATCTTTCCTCCTCTGTTTTACAACGCCATCACATAATACACACACACACACACACACACACACACACACATACGTACACATGCGCACCCGCATACAGTTAACCTACTATCACAAACACACTATTAGCTTAACATCACTTACACACATAAATGCACACAAATACCATACAATCACACATATACGGGTAACTTACCATCATACCCCAATTCCCCCCCCCCCCATACTTACATCACACACATATAGTTTACTTAACATCACAGATATACAAATAACCTAACATCACGCATACATGCTCACACATACTGAAACTCTAACATCACAAAAACACACAGACACACACACAGCCACAGATACTCTAACAACATTCCGGCACACACGCACACACACACACACACTCACACACACACACAACGAAAAAACCTAATATTTCACAAAGAGACACACATTCCCAGAAACGCGCACACAAATTCCTTAACATCACACATACACGCAAACACAACCCCAGATGAAGAAACAAATACTGTTACAAAACACTTAAGCAGTCCCAGATCAAACAAAAAATTGCCCTGTCATCACACATCAAATACTGTTTCATAACAATTAAGTATCCCCCACATCACATACACAAATACCATTACACCCCACCACAAATACACCCATATAACACACACATACCCCCATATCACATAAATAAATACCCTCACACCACACAGCAAATAAAACCACATAAAACACACATACCCCCACATCACATAAACAAATAGCATCACGCCCCACAACAAATACACCCATATAACACACACATACCCCAACATCACATAAACAAATACCATCACATCACAACACAAATGCACTCATATAACACACACATACCTCCACATCACATAAACAAATACCCTCACACCACACAACAAATACACCAATATAACACACATACCCCCCACATTACATAAACAAATACCCTCACACAACACAACAAATAAACCCATATAACACACACATACCCCCATATCACATAACGAAATGCCCGACAGCTATCAGTGTTGCCAGCAAGCCATTCTGGAAGCCACAGAACCAGTCGCTACCCACACAAGTTAGCAGACCCATCTGTTTCCTTGTTGTCGACTCCGCTGACGCAGACTGCATTTGTTTATGTGCTGCTATTGCTCTAGATGTTGCTTTTCTTATGAAGGTTAGCAGAGGAAATTTTCCAGCCTGGCATGACTGTGCAAAGCGATAAAAGGAAATAACAACACGATTTAAGATAATTGAAAATACATTTATCTGGGAAGAGTCTGATGTACTGTAGACTGGGCATGTACGAATGGATATATGAATGGATATTATGTGAATGGATTCAATCAATCAGGTGCCGTCTCCACAATGAAGGTTGGCTGCAATGGATCTCCAACAATCTCTGTCTCTTGCCCTAGATGTACACTCGCTCATACTGCTGTTCGTCCATCTCTTGATGTTATCCTCCCACTTGTAACGCTGTCTGCCTCTTGCTCGCCTACCTTGAACCTTTCCCTCTAGGATGATCTTTACAATACTGTTATGTCTTTTAATGTGACCAAAATATTTCACTTGTCTCTTTTTTATTTCACCTAGCAACTCTCTTTTCATTCCCAATTTCCTCAGTACCTGTATTTGATAGCTTTTGTTTCCATGAAATACGACCTAATCTTCTGTATATCCACATCTCCAAAGAACTGATACGATTTTCCAGTTGTTTGTTCATTGTCCATGTCTCTGTGCCATACAGTAAGGTTGAGAATACATAACATTTGACAATTCTCATTTTTAATGTATTGCTTATTTCTCTTGATGTCAGTAACTTTTGCATGTTATTGAAAATGTTTTTGGCCATCCCTATTCTTTTCTTTACTTCTGTTTCACTTCTGCCGTCACATGTTATTACTTGTGTAAGATATAAGAAATTTTTAACTTGTTTCAATTTCACCCCGTTCACTGTGATATTCATTGTTAGCTGATTATTTTCTTTGCTAAATATCATGGTTTTTGTCTTTTTCAAATTATTATCTAATCCAAATTCTGCACTCCTTCTGTTTACTTGCTCCACTAGGTCTTGCAACTCCTGCTCACTCTCTGCTAGCAACACTGTGTCGTCAGCATATCTCAGATTGTTTATTATTCTACCATTGATGTTCAGTCCTGGTAAATGGATTATAGAATGAATAAACATCATTGCACTAGGAGCATTCCCCTACCGGCCGTGCCCGTTAATCTAAAACTCAGTACAGACCAGAAAGGTCTCTGTCTCTTGGGTGCCAGTTCCTCTCGGATTATCAATTGCACTTTTCTGACTCAGCAAAAGAAATTGTTATATTGTGCCAAGAGGAGGCACTGCCCATGGCGATGGCGACACTGGGGCTAGCAAGACCCACCCATCTTAAGAACAGTCTTCTACAATTGTAACATGGGATTTCAGGACCCATGTTGTCAACATTGGTATTGACTCCCAGCTGAACCAACTTTTGTATAAATGTTTACCCTGTCGGCTCATGCAGTTTTCACTTCCACAAATATGACACATTAGTCATTTACTCCACGTTGACTACATTTAATTAAAACTACAGTAACGACATCACGACTGTCTTCTTCTGACTCTGGTACACAATTGACCACAAGTCCAGCTCAGTATTCCTCTCGCTTACTCGACCAGCCCCAAGTGATCGCTTGCAGCATAGACTTGCTGCTTGCCACATGTACGCGTGGAGACCATGCAAAGCACCTATCCCACACTGTACGCGTGGAGACCAAGCAAGGCACCTATCCCACACTGTACGCGTGGAGACCATGCAAAGCACCTATCCCACACTGTACGCGTGGAGACCATGCAAAGCACCTATCCCACACTGTACGCGTGGAGACCATGCAAAGCACCTATCCCACACTGTACGCGTGGAGACCAAGCAAAGCACCTATCCCACACTGTACGCGTGGAGACCAAGCAAGGCACCTATCCCACACTGTACGCGTGGAGACCATGCAAAGCACCTATCCCACACTGTACGCGTGGAGACCCTGCAAAGCACCTATCCCACACTGTACGCGTGGAGACCAAGCAAAGCACCTCATCACAGTCAAATCTTCCGATAAGCGTCTGGCTTGTCTTTGCCGATTTCTATATCACGAGAAAACGGATATCCGGTGCAATATGGCGGTTAGCTGGCTGACAGCTGACGCTCTTATATGTGTCCCCCCCCCCTCCCCCAAGGCATGTTTTACTGATGTATATGCTGTTGAATGCTCGGTGCCACACAGTAAGCTGTGAATGGCATGTTTATATTGTGTCATTGCGCCCTGTTTGTGTGACCAGGCACTATTCAGTGTTGTGAATTGCACTGACTGTGGCAGGCAGTTGATTACGCTAGGAACTGCCTGCACTTATGCAGTACTGCGGGTGCAATGCCGACTTTCATGACAGACTGCTTGCATCAGGGGTAAGCTGTGGAGTGGTAGAAAGTTAGTATTGGCACATCTGACAGCTGCCTTGTGCAATTATTTTGCGCTTGAAGACTTTACGATTTTACAGGACATGAGTTTATCTCTAGCGTATGGTACAGGATCCCCGTGTGGGTTCCAGGTCCCTATTGTTAGAAAAACAATATTAGAGCCACTGCCTACTCAAAAAGCATTTCGTAAGAGTCGACCACCTGGAAGCTTCTTTCGAAGTCATAATGCATCGCCTGAAAGGCAAGGCACCAACAGTCTACATACAAATTAGTCAGATCTGTAAAACTGATGCGCATGCAACACGTTGGCTATGGAACAGGACTACAGTTAAGAAGACGAACAACCAGAATCAGAACATAGGTTTACAGATTGTGAAGGCAAAGAAGAAAAAATGTGAGAGATAAGTATATTCTGTGTGATTTCCACTTGCACATAATCGTACCACGATCGAAACCTATTGCTAGCTGAGTGGGTTTTTGTCATGGTATGAGGCGTCACAAGTCGACCCAGCCTAAAATGGGTACCAAGATGTATGTCCTGGGGAAGTAAAAACAGCCAACGTAATGCTGACCACACTACCCACCTAGTGCCGATTCGTCTGTAGTAATCTGGGGGATATTCCCGTATGCCCGATGTGACTAAGGGCTTGAAAAAGGTATCTTTACCTCATGTACTTAGCAGTCGCAGTGCCACACATCAGCAGTGAAGCTGAAACCTTAACTAGCAGCAAACTATTTCTAGGTTAACATTATGACTGTTTTTTTTAATTTAATTTTTTATTTTTATTTTTGCTGATAAGAATGTAAATATAATAAAGGTGTCTTTGCATGCTGAACTTTGAGGAAAGAAACCCAGCATTTTGTTGTTTTCGTTCGTTTGCTGGTTAGACAAACAAAATGTTTCCCCCAGCAGTGCCCCATCGTTACGAACAGTCGACGCTTCACCAGTGTGTCGAAATCAACGCAAAGCGTTCAGTTGTCAAATCCCCTACAGCTGGAATGGAACCGGATATTCCCGAAATACTATGCCCGTTCGCTTACACTTATGATGTTTCATACCGCGACAAATACATAAAGAACACAATTTCGGGGTGTGATGTGTACTGCAGATAAACATGTTGAAGAACCTTGTTACAGCATTTTGTTCATGATATATTGGATGATAGACCCAAGTTTAGTTAAGACCAGTCAACCAATCCCTTCCCCTCGCACCTCCCTTCCCATTCCCCCTCCCCACTTGATTGAGCCAAACATCAACATGGACTCACGTTGCCGGAAAAGTCGTCCTCATCCATCTTGGTCAAGGCAATGCCTGCTAGCCCCAAGCGATTCATCAGCTTTATCTTCCAGAAGATACATTTCAGTAACAATTAGACTACCCTTGTACACGTCTTCAGACGCATTTGTCATATAAGGCTATACTTAAATATTTTAGACCAATCAACGGTTGCTGGGTGATGTTGTAAGAGTTACACTGACCGCCTTTACTTCCCAGGACTTTACTTGGCAGCGTTTAAGGTTCTGTCGACCTAGGAGTCAGGGACATTTTAATGTCCGTCTACGCCAGAGAAGCCTTGTTTCAAGATATGATCCAGCAGGCTCCATACAGTGTTTCAGAGGGAGAAGAAAGGTACATACTGCTACAGAGAGGCAGACACAGAGATAGACAGACAGACGAATAAATGGACGCAGCTCGCTAGCGAAACACAGATAGACAAACAACCAGGCAGGAAGGAAAGTTGCTGGACCGTTCGACTGAGTTGAGTTAAGCTGAGTCAAGAATTGACATCACTGCACTTGTGGCGTTTCTATGCATGCTCCGTCCTCATCTTCAGCAGCCACCGCAGAGTTCCAACACTGGTGGTACCAGTCACAATCTGTTTAAAAGTTTCCTCTGAGTGTAGTGAGCCGGCCAGACCCTCTGGTAACACCCAGATGCCTCATTCTCTCCAGGCAAAAAAAATCTTCTCTCTCTACTGATTCCGTTGCTTGTTGCATTCGACTGAGAGATCATGTGGAACGGTGGATCAAGACCGTTAACGCTAAATGAAAGTACACATGATGATGATGGTTGAATTATGAAACCTTGTTTTATTTTCCATAAGACAAACAGCTTTCTGAATACAGAAAAGGCCGTCTTGGTTTCAAATGCTCTGTGCAAAACAAACATAGTAACGTTAAATGTGATCTTTCAATTAATATTCATAAGTAAAAAAAAAAAAAAAAGAAGATGCACTAATGACAGCACGAAATATACAAGCAAAAACAAACTGATGTTGATTTGTGTGTAGAGGAGACACGGCTGGCAGAGAGTGATCCTGCACCATGAGCAACACACAGTCTCTACGATACCTTCCAGCTTTTGTGTTCTTTCGGCGACTGGGTCACCCAGTGGCTTGCCGTTAGACGACTTCATCGCCGGTCGGGACATTATTTGGGTCTGTCCATTTTGATGGCATCAGCTCTGCTTGGTTGCAGCAATGCTAAGCCATTGTGTATGAAGCATATACCCTTGTCACAATTATAACCTAAAGCTCCACATTCGGGGATGGTGGTTAAACGTGAGGATTTTTTTTCGGGGGTGGGGGGCGGGGGGGGGGGGACGGGCAAAGCAAACCAAGCCTTATTCATCCTTGACCCTAAGTTGAAGCAAGCGTTTTGATAATCACAAATAGGTGATTTTTATGCCAGTCAATAGCACAATATAAACCTTTCGTCTGGATGGAAACTACAATAATAAGAAAAGAAAACTTCAAACACTTTAGTCTGCAATGCTGGTACATCAACAAAGTGAACTGACTGTACAGAACAACACTGGTTTACAGAAGTGAATAGTGAAGTCAGTCGATTTGTGTACATCAGTTTAAGACAAAAACTGAACATCAAATGACAAGACAGGAGCCTGAATGCTGTCGTACTGTATAGAGCTGACTTTCACACCATTGATACCATCCTAATTTAGTCACAGATTCCACGGTCAGGTCACGTTCTCGTGCTAGACCCTTGCCAAAATAGTCCTTTATGGTGAGGTACATGAAGGCAGGTCGGCTCTGTGGCTAAGTCAATGCGAACGCTTCGTAATGCCGGGATGCCGGGTTCGATCCCAGCTTCAGCCATGCGTTGGTTTCGACAGTGGTATCAAGAAAGCCGACTGTCCAGAGAGCAATGGCAAACTACTGGATGTAAATTTGCCTAGAAAAACCACACAAAAGCCAGGGGCTGTTGAGGTTGGTTCTGCAACGTCCTGTAAAGGATACGCAACTAACCTAACAAGAAGGCGATGGCTCTATTGGTGGTTATAAATGAATTACTTGAAGCCTTCAGTGATAGAACCTGACATTTGGGAGAGCTGCACAAGACTGGACAATATGGCAAATGTCTATCTGAAGAGACAGCTACCTGCAAGGCATCTAGAAAAGGGGCAGCTGAATAGCGAAGACCGGCTAGAAAGAAATGTTGAACCGGCCCTTTACCACCAGATACTCTCTGCCCTAACTGTCCTAGACTCTTTTACGGGACACAAGAACATAGAGGTGACGTCATAATTACATTTAAAATTACCTTACCCACTTTTGACATCTCAAAAGAGTAACATCATTCTGCTATCTGTTATTTGATCAGTGAAGGGTTAAAAACAGCAGAAACTCATCAGCGAATGGAAGTTAAGTATGCTACTGCATTGTTATTAGTCCATCTAGTATCTGAATGACATAGACACTTTTAAAAAAGGCTGTTATATGGACATGGGGGCACCATTCAGTGTGCCTCACACAGTCGTTGCCTCAACCAGTCGTTGCCCCAACCAGTCGTTGCCTCACCCAGTCGTTATCAGGCACTATTCACTGTGTATCACCCAGTCGTTATCAGGCACTGTTCAGTGTGCCTCACCCAGTCGTTGCCAGGCACTATTTACTGTGTATCGCCCAGTCGTTGGCAGGCACTGTTCAGTGTGTATCACCTAGTCGTTGCCAGGCACTGTACAGTGTGTATCACCCAGTCGTTGCCAGGCACTGTTCAGTGTGTATCACCCAGTCGTTGCCAGGCACTGTTCAGTGTGTCTCACTCAGTCGTGCCGTTTTGAGATGTCCTATTATTGTACTTTCTATGAAGAATTTCATTGAAGCGTGTCATGTGAAGATCCCTTCTCAATGAGAATGAGAGCACTCGCTGCATCAGAAAAAGATAATCTGCTTTTTTATTTGGTCCTATAGTCACAATGGAAAAACTGGAGTACGTAGGGACAAAGGGCAAGTACGTTAGAGAAAACAGGGAATAAGAAAGCAGATGCTAAACAGTTTCGCGTCGTTACATGATACTTACTTGTATAAGAAAAAAAGTCAAAGTAAACGACACAAAGGCTTTGTCATAGATGATCAACAGCCGCATTATTGCTTGGACTATAGGCAACCATAACACAGCTAGGACTATCAGCAACCATAACACAGCTTGGATTATCAGCAACCATAACACAGCTTAGACTATCAGCAACCATAAAACAGCTTGGACTATCGGCAACCATAAACAGCTTGGACTATCAGCAACCATAACACAGCTTAGACTATCAGCAACCATAAAACAGCTTGGACTATCGGCAACCATAACACAGCTTAGACTATCAGCAACCAAAACACAGCTTGGACTATCGGCAACCATAACACATCTAGGACTATAAGAAACCATAATACAGCTTAGACTATCAGCAACCATAACACTGCTTGGACTATAAAAAAACCATAACACAGCTTAGACTATCAGCAACCATAAAACAGCTAGGACTATCGGCAACCATAACACAGCTTGGACTATCGGCAACCATAAAACATCTTGGACTATCGGAAACCATAACACAGCTTACACTTTCAGCACCCATAACACAGCTTGGACTATCGGCAACCATAACACAGCTTGTACTATCGACAACCAGAACACAGAATGGACTATCGGCAACCATAACACAGATTGGACTATCGGCAACCATAACACAGCTTGGACTGTCAGCAACCATAACACAGCTTGGACAATCGTTGACCATAACACAGCTTGGACTGTCAGCAACTATACCACAGCTTTGACTATTGGCAACCATAAACTGGACGATCGTTGATCACAATACAGACTGGACGATCGTTGATCACCATGCAGACTAGACGATCGGGAACTACTACACAGCTTGGGCTATCTAAGGAAGAAGAAAGTCAAGTCAGTGTGTTGAGCACCACAAACCTACCCTTTCATAAAGGCTCTCCGTGTCTGTATACCCAACCCATTCGGTTCCTCGCACCAGGTATGGATTCTTCTGGATATGGTCAAAGTATTTCTGTGAAGACTTCATCATCTCGCACACCTGTCATTGACAATTCTGATTGTTAATCAAACCTGACATTGCCATTTGTAAGGAATTATACAAAATATCGTTTTTAATTTTGATTGTTAATCTAAAGTGGCATCGTCACTTGTGATAATTGGGTACACTTGGGAGCGAAAATTTAATAGTCTTCTTCTTCTTCGCGTTCACCAGCTGATGGAAAGTTTGGGTTGTTCATCCACTTCTGGACTGCAGTCCTGTTCCAGAACATAAGTGTTGCGTGTGCATCCGTTTTACATATATGACTTATTTGTACGCATGGTTCCTTGCGTCTCAGGCAGATGCACTCCGACTTTGAAGGAAGCTCCCAGTTAGTCTGGTCGACTCCTACGACATGCGTTTTGGTAGACAGTGGGTCTATTCTTGTTTTCCCTATAACAGGGCCCCGGAACCCACACAGGGAAATTTTATAGTTACAGGTGACTTTAGTAGTTAGTCAAAGATAAGATGGGATTACATGATGCAAGATGAAAATTCAATGAGAAACAATGAGATGAACATCCAACTATCACTACAATCATCCTCATCGTTGTCATCATCATGAAGTAGGTCTAGTGCAGAACACTGCTCTCGTTACAGCCTGCCTGAAAAAGCTCGGTCCCTTGCTAGATCTCCTGCCTCGTGCACTTTCCTTCCCAAGATGTTACTTATTCCCTATTCTTATCTCCATGTCCCTTTGTTCTGGTACCGTGCCTTTTGCTATTCCATTGTCTTTTACAGAAGAATTCTTAGAATACCTTGGACAGCCAAAAGGAGTTTTTGAAAGGGGCGGGAGCCCGAGGACAACTTATCACAGACACCAGAAGGAGACAGTCATCATTTTTCGGACATGTTATGAGAAGAGAGAAAATTGAACATCTTGTGACCATTGGAATAATCTGTGGAAGGGGGATTAGGGAGAGACAGTGAGAGAAGATTCTTGACAGCCTTGCTGCATGGCATGGAGGTGTGTCAGCACACGAACTGATACATGCTGCTGATCGCAGATTGCGGAGAGGCATGATCGCCCACGTTAGTCGGCGACGCACATGATGAGGATGATTTTCCAGTCAACTTGGGCGACTGATATGGCCAAATATTTCTCTGTCCGAGCTGTACAAATTCATGGTTACAGTATACATCCATTAGTCGTGTCAACTTATTTTTTTTTTTCTTCTTCTTTAGCCCTAAACTGCATTTAAGTTTCAGGTTTTGAAGAGGGATCGGTTAAGACCCCTAAAATGTTCTGCGTAGACGCTGGTATTTACAGCCTCGGCTATTACATCTGTCCATTGCTCGCGTGGTCGACCTCTGGGCTACTACCATAATGTCTAAGTAGAAGTATTCGAGAGAGTGTGAGTTGGAAGAGAGGAAGACCAGGAAATGGAGAGAGAAGAAGGCGTAGAAATAGCAGAGTGAGAGCCCGTAGAGTCTGTGATAAACGGGGCGTCTGAGATTAAAGCATGCTAGAGTGTATATTGGTGATGTCATCAACTCAGAGAGTGCGGCCGTATTGTACTCCACTTTGGACAACAGCCATGTAAGAGGTAATGTTCCTAGCCTCACAATTAGCAATCTGGGGTACCTCGTTATCATTTTCGATAGAAGCCTGTCCCTCAGGGACATGGGGGCAGATGCTGTGAAATGCTAAAAAAAAAAAAGACAATGCTTTCAACATTATGGCTGCTATTTACATGAAACAAAGAAAAGTGTTCACAGTGTTTTCCCATGGAGACATAGGCAGAGCTAAGGTTCACAGAAGAGGAAGGTCTTGGATGCCGCCACCAGAAGACACAATTATAAATGTCTGCAGGTTTGGTACATTTGGAGAGGAGTGTTTCAGAGTGTCTGATCAAGTTTCAGACGTGTGTAGGGTTTTGATCACACGGGGCCGTTAGTGCAGGGGCTGGCCAGCTAGTGCTGCAGAAAAAGAAGTTCCACACATGATTCATGACAATTCTCACCAAGGTGATGTGATTATCTATACAGATGACTTTCTATCGAGGGACAGATGAACTGCACGGGACGTCCCTTAGCGCAGCAAAGCCTGGCATTTGATATCACAACGTCTAGTTTGACAATGGAGGTGGAGGCAGTCACTGCTAGTTTTCGCTGGCTTAAGACTCAGCTGTACACACATATAATAATTGTAACTGACTCACAGAGCAGTTTGAGAAAGGTGAAGACAGGCGTCTTCCATGCAGAGTGGCAAGAACCAGTTCAGAGGTCCTAGTCCCAGGTAGCTAGCGTCCTTTTAGATATTGTCTACAGGTTTTGACGGTGTGTTGGGAAAGGAGTTTGCAGATGGACTGGCTGTTTCTTAACCACTTGTTAGTGGACTCATGTATGACAAGCCAGATGTTGTCATAGATCTTTGGGAGCGAGTGAACTCATGTATGACAAGCTAGATGTTGTCATAGATCTTTGGGAGCGAGTGAACTCATGTATGACAAGCTAGATGTTGTCATAGATCATTGGGAGCGAGTGAACTCATGTATGACAAGCTAGATGTTGTCATAGATCTTTGGGAGCGAGTGAACTCATGTATGACAAGCTAGATTTTGTCATAGATCTTTGGGAGCGAGTGAACTCATGTATGACAAGCTAGATGTTGTCATAGATCTTTGGGAGCGAGTGAACTCATGTATGACAAGCTAGATGTTGTCATAGATCTTTCGGAGCGAGTGAACTCATGTATGACAAGCTAGATGTTGTCATAGATCTTTGGGAGCGAGTGAACTCATGTATGACAAGCTAGATGTTGTCATAGATCTTTGGGAGCGAGTGGACTCATGTATGACAAGCTAGATGTTGTCATAGATCTTTGGGAGCGAGTGGACTCATGTATGACAAGCTAGATGTTGTCATAGATCTTTGGGAGCGAGTGAACTCATGTATGACAAGCTAGATGTTGTCATAGATCTTTGGGAGCGAGTGAACTCATGTATGACAAGCTAGACGTTGTCATAGATCTTTGGGAGCTAGTGAACTCATGTATGACAAGCTAGATGTTGTCATAGATCTTTGGGAGCGAGTGAATTCATGTATGACAAGCTAGATGTTGTCATAGATCTTTGGGAGCGAGTGAACTCATTTATGACAAGCTAGATGTTGTCATAGACCTTTGGGAGCGAGTGGACTCATGTATGACAAGCTATATGTTGTCATAGATCTTTGGGAGCGAGTGAACTCATGTATGAAAAGCTAGATGTTGTCATAGATCTTTGGGAGCGAGTGGACTCATGTATGACAAGCTAGATGTTGTCATAGATCTTTGGGAGCGAGTGAACTCTTGTATGACAAGCTAGATGTTGTCATAGATCTTTGGAAGCGAGTGAACTCATGTATGACAAGCTAGATGTTGTCATAGATCTTTGGGAGCGAGTGAACTCATGTATGACAAGCCAGATGTTGTCATAGATCTTTAGGAGCGAGTGAACTCATGAATGACAAGCCAGATGTTCTCATAGATCTTTGGGAGCGAGTAAACTCATGTATGACAAGCTAGATGTTGTCATAGATCTTTGGGAGCGAGTGAACTCATGTATGACAAGCTAGATGTTGTCATAGATCTTTGGGAGCGAGTGAACTCATGTATGACAAGCTAGATTTTGTCATAGATCTTTGGGAGCGAGTGAACTCATGTATGACAAGCTAGATGTTGTCATAGATCTTTGGGAGCGAGTGAACTCATGTATGACAAGCTAGATGTTGTCATAGATCTTTGGGAGCGAGTGAACTCAAGTATGACAAGCTAGATGTTGTCATAGATCTTTGGGAGCGAGTGAACTCATGTATGACAAGCTAGATGTTGTCATAGATCTTAAGATGCGAGTGAACTCATGTATGACAAGCTAGATGTTGTCATAGATCTTTGGGAGCGAGTGAACTCATGTATGACAAGCTAGATGTTGTCATAGATCTTTGGGAGCGAGTGAACTCATGTATGACAAGCTAGATGTTGTCATAGATCTTTGGGAGCGAGTGAACTCAAGTATGACAAGCTAGATGTTGTCATAGATCTTTGGGAGCGAGTGAACTTATGTATGACAAGCTAGATGTTGTCATAGATCTTTAGATGCGAGTGAACTCATGTATGACAAGCTAGATGTTGTCATAGATCTTTGGGAGCGAGTGAACTCATGTATGACAAGCTAGATGTTGTCATAGATCTTTGGGAGCGAGTGAACTCATGTATGACAAGCTAGATGTTGTCATAGATCTTTGGGAGCGAGTGAACTCATGTTTGACAAGCTAGATGTTGTCATAGATCTTTGGGAGCGAGTGAACTCATGTATGACAAGCTAGAGGTTGTCATAGAGCTTTGGGAGCGAGTGGACTCATGTATGACAAGCTAGATGTTGTCATAGATCTTCGGGAGCGAGTGAACAGCGCGGAAGTACAAATCCATCATTACGGTCAGAGAATGGTGCTGCGTATAGTTACCAGGGGATCTTGCTGACGCTCGACACTTAAGAGGAAGGCGAGACGGATACATAATTAAACATTTACTAGTACCGTCGGAAACTGAACTCTTTGCTTGCTGCTAAAGATGGGGACGCGGCGCTTATAGGAGTGCCTGCGTGATATCATGTCGATTATTAATTCACATTTAACAATCAAACCATTTAATCTAGTGTCTCTTGTTGTAGCCTGATATTGAGTCTGTCCCAACTTCTTTCCTGATATCGTCATTTCTGTTTCGACAGTGGTATCAAGAAGAAGACTGTCCAGAAAGAAATGGCAAACTACTGGACGTAAATATGCCTAGAGAAACCACACAATAGCCAGGGGCTGCTGGGGTTGGTTCTGCAACGTCCTGTAAAATATACGCGACTAACTAACCTTTCAATACTATGCCATGAACAACACAACTAAAACGATAAGTTGAACTACTTGGATGTTAAAACAAACACAATGATAAATTAAATACTTCCGCTAGGAAGTCATTGGCATAGAAAACAACGACAACAGTAGAACAGTATACAATACTTTTTTTAATAAGTGCATTTTTTAAGGGAAAAAGGGATGGGTGGTGTAAGGGGGGGGGGGGGTGGGAGGGGAGAGGGGACTAAGTCAACTGCTTGTAGAAATATTGATCATCATCACCTTTATCATCATCACGATGATCAACATCACTATAATCGTCTGATGAGCTGACGAGGACTGACTGCCTGTTTTCGCAATGTCAGGCGATCACCAGAACCACGGATCAGGTCAGTGTTTTTGTCTGTCTCCGTCCATATGGCCAAGAAATTCCTTTTTTTTTGCTATCCTGTTTTCTAGAATCAATCAAAGTTCTTTCCAGGCCACCATGACGTTTAAAGTGACTAAAATACCTTCACTTTCGGGACAGGATGCTGTTTACCCGCGGATTGTCTTCCATGCTCACAATGTTTGTTGATCATCACCAGCATCATGTGCCCTGCCAACTGGCGTAGGCGCAAATGCGTCTCCACAGATCACGATCCCTGGTTGACTAGGAACGGCTCTCTTGATGATATCTCTCCGTGCCATCGTTTGTTGATACATGCTTGAAAACGCATTGAGTGTGTGGCGGAATTGTCAGATAGTGGTCAGAAAGTGATGTGGAGAGATGTGATTGGTGGGACCTTGGGAAGCAATGGTCAGCTGAGGCCACTAATACACTACACAAGTAAAAGGACCCTTTTCCACACCTTCAAACGTACTGACCATATGGGTTAGTTAGTTAGCTAGTGGCGTATTCTTTACAGGACGTTGCAGAACCAACCCCAGCACTTTCTGGCTGATGTGGTTTTTCTAGGCAAATTTACGTCCAGTAGTTTGCCATGACCATACAGGACTAGGCCAATATTGTAAAGACTAATCTGCACTTACCAGGTGATGTTGCCAGCATCACGCCAGCCGCCTTTTATTTCACAGGGTTTGTACCTGGTACCCACTCAAGGCTGGGTTAACCTGGAAGGCCAGGTCATTTTTCAAAAAATTTAGCGCTCTGTCATGACCCGAACCCCCGACCTTCCGAGCAGCCTCAAGCGTCTAGCCGCTACATCACGGCGACTGCCACTCTACACACGATTAGACACAAAATGTCAATATGTAAACAGAAAATCCAATACCTCAGGGAAGGCTAAACTCTCATTGAGATTGTATGTGGAACCACTGAGGACATCGTTCGTACAACTTGCCCCTGGTTGATATTTGGACGCGTCCTTCAGTCTGACGTAATGACCCAGTGCCGTGACACACATCACTAGTTTGCTGTTTGGCATACCGCTGTTACTCCAAAACCGAAGACTTATATACTGTGGATGAACACAAAAGTGCTTGATATATTCGTAATTTCTAGGCAGGAACCATGTGTCCACCACAATCATAATAATGGAGTACCGCTTTTTGTGGCATAGAGCTTCCCTGTAGCGTTGACCGCCATGTCCAAATGAGTTTTGTGCGGCGGCCCTAAACTCAGATCATAAATAGAATAATAATAATAACAACAACTTCACACGGGACCATGCAGGGCAGGGATCCACCGATCATCAGTAGACAAATCCCTCGTCGACATTTTCTTTGGCCCATTACTTTCTAAACAATCTCGGAAGGTGGGCCGACCTGGTACATAAAGAAAGGTCTCAGTCTTCTTCTCCTGCACTTAATCAGAACGCACGGAGAGGAACAAGACGAAATGTTGACTTTGCAACAGGTATCGTGAGATTCGGTCTTATATATATTGTCGCTGGGGTAGCAAATAAATTAAGCGGACCATCTTCACGATCAAAGTGACAAGCTTACGGTTCGTTGATTGAACAGGTGTTAGATTTCGGCAATTGGCATTGAGACACTGGCAAACATTTATCGGAAACTTTGGCTTTTATGGATGAAAAGCTGTTTTCCACTAGGGAATCTGACCGGTTTACCGAGGCCCATCCCTTACGACGTTCCGTTGCGTCCAGAGACAGCTCGAAGTCCTTCCGGCAGCTTCGTCAGGTTGTTTTAGTGACCCTTCACGCTTTTTTCCTCGCAAGCCTAGGTGGTTTAGTACATTGTATGTGGAAGTGGAGATACGTCCTCTTGCGCCTACCTCGACAGCAAAGAATTTACTGTGCACGCTTCATCTCTCTTCAGACAATAGAAATCCATTTGACTGCCTCTTGTACCCACTTGTCTGACTGAGGATACCTCCCATCATCATCCGCTCGCTAGCTTCGGCTCTGTTCCTGAGACGGGTTGTGCTCACATCTGGTTAGTGGTCTTCAGAATCGATACATATTTGCCTTAGATTTCCTAAAGATTCCCCGCTTTCTAAAATTATATCACTGTGCTGCAATAATGAGAACAACTTGATTGGAGTGGCATTGGTTAAGTCAGAAGGTAATGATTGTCGGGAGATCGTCAGTGCAACGTAAAGTAAGCTTGTCTCATCACTTTTAGGTCTGTGGATTCCAGTCAAACCTTCAATTGCCACAGTTACATGGTTCATCCTGACATTCACTGGACAGACTTGAATTTGGCTAAAAAGAGTAGCGAAGCTTTAACAAGAATCCGTGAAGATATATCTCAGAGTCAGGTACGTGATGATACGCTTTGCATGGTGACCCATGCTTACAGCAGTCCGAGGAAAAAAAAAAAACAGGCAGGAGACGACGACACAAGCTATTTGGAGCTGGGGATATGAACCAGGTGAAGCCCGAGATTGGCATCATGCTTCTCAACTTGTCCACACTAAACTACTATCAGGAATAGACACATTTCGTCATCACAACACAGGCTAGCGTTCTTTGTAACCTCTGCAAGGTTTACTCTAGTTTACGCTCATTCCTCCAACAACACAATTTCTTAACAGACATCCTTTAAGGGCGATCACAGCTAAAACTATATAACAACACATTTACGCTATATTCTACATGTTCCAATATGACAACTGTCTTCCTCGACCTCTGGTAAGCAACTGTACAATAGCCAACCTGGAGCTTTACCTAGATCGTATCTTCGGCTCCGAATATCCCGTGTTGTTATCTCTTGCACAGGTTTTCTGCTCGACTTGTTGTGAGCGGTGGCCACCACGCGAAGCAGGTCATCACAGCTTTGATTGCAGTGTCTTACAAAGAGCGCGACGACAACTTGCTTGCAAAAAATGGCAAAGGCCTGTCTTCAGTAATGGTAGTCATGACCGCCAGCATCTAGCAGAGACTATTCATCTTCTAGTCTAGAGACTACCACTGACTCTGCTTCAGTCATTTTCACAGTCTGCCATATTCACTGTCAGCCATACTCACTGTCAGCCATACTCACAGTCAGCCATACTCACTGTCAGCCATACTCACAGTCAGCCATACTCACAGTTAGCCATACTCACTGTCAGCCATATTCACTGTTAGCCATACTCACTGTCAGCCATACTCACAGTCAGCAATACTCAAAGACAGCCATACTCACAGTCAGCCATACTCACTGTCATCCATACTCACTGTCAGCCATACTCACAGTCAGCAATACTCACAGTTAGCCATACTCACAGTCAGCCATACTCACTTTCATCCATACTCGCTGTTAGCCATACTCACTGTCAGCCATACTCACAGTCAGCCATACTCACAGTCAGCCATACTCACTCTCAGCCAATCTCACTGTCAGCCATACTCACTGTCAGCCATACTCGCAGTCAGCCATTCTCACAGTCAGTCATTCTCACTGTCAGCCATACTCACAGTCAGTCATTCTCACTTTCAGCCATTCTCACTCTCAGGCATGCTAACAGTCAGCCATTCTCACAGTCAGTCATTCTCACTGTCAGCCATACTCACAGTCAGTCATTCTCACTGTCAGCCATTCTCACTCTCAGCCATGCTCACAGTCAGCTATACTCACAGTAAGCCATACTCACACTCAGTCATTCTCACTGTCAGCCATAATCACAGTCAGTCATTCACACTGTCAGCCATACTCACAGTCAGCCATACTCACAGTTAACCATATTCACTGTCAGCCATACTCACAGTCAGTCATTCTCACTGACAGCCATTCATAGTTAGTCATTCTAACTGTTAGCCATTCTCACTCTCAGCCATGCTCACAATCAGCCATACTCACAGTAAACCATACTCACAGGAAGCCATACTCACTGTCAGCAATACTTACTGTCAGTCATTCTCACAGTCATCCATTCTCACTGTCAGCCATACTCACAGTCAGCCATTCTCACTGCCAGCTATACCTACTCACTGTCAGCCATTCTAACAATCAGCCATACTCACAGTCAGAAATACTCACAGTCAGCCATTCTCACTCTCAGCCATGCTCACAGTAAGCAATACTCACAGTCAGTCACTCTCACTGTCAGCCATACTCACAGTCAGCCATACTCACTGTCAGCCATACTCACTGTCAGTCAATCTCACTGTCAGCTATACTCACAGTCAGCTATTCTCACTGCCAGCTATAACTACTTACAATCAGCCATTCTCACTGTCAGCTATACTCACAGTCAGCCATACTCACAGTCAGCCATTCACACTGTCAGCTATACTCACAGTCAGCCATACTCACAGTTAGCCATACTCACAGTCAGACATTCTCACTATCAGCCATTCTCACTGTCAGCCATACTTGCAGTCAGCCATACCTACAGTCAGCCATTCTCACTGTCAGCTATACTCACAGTCAGCCATACTCACACTCAGCCATTCACACTGTCAGCTATACTAACAGTCAGCCATACTCACAGTTAACTATACTCACTGTCAGCCATACTCACAGTCAGCCATATTCACAGTCAGCCATTCTCACTGTGAGCCATACTCACTGTCAGCCATTCTCACTGTCAGCCATACTCACAGTCAGCCATCCTCACACTCAGCCATTCTGACTGTCAGCCATACTCACAGTCAGCCATACTCGCAGTCAGCCATACTCACATTCAGCCATTCTCACTCTCAGCTATGCTCACAGTCAGCCATACTCACAGTAAGCCATACTCACAGTCAGTTACTCTCACTGTTAGCCGTACTCATAGTCAGCCATACTGACTGTCAGCCGTACTCACTGTCAGTCATCTTCACTGTCAGCCATACTCAAAGTCAGCCATTCTCACTGTCAGCCATTCTCACTCTCAGGCATGCTAACAGTCAGCCATTCTCACAGTCAGTCATTCTCACTGTCAGCCATACTCACAGTCAGTCATTCTCACTGTCAGCCATTCTCACTCTCAGCCATGCTCACAGTCAGCTATACTCACAGTAAGCCATACTCACACTCAGTCATTCTCACTGTCAGCCATAATCACAGTCAGTCATTCTCACTGTCAGCCATACTCACAGTCAGCCATACTCACAGTTAACCATACTCACTGTCAGCCATACTCACAGTCAGTCATTCTCACTGTCAGCCATTCATAGTTAGTCATTCTAACTGTTAGCCATTCTCACTCTCAGCCATGCTCACAATCAGCCATACTCACAGTAAGCCATACTCACAGGCAGCCATACTCACTGTCAGCAATACTCACTGTCAGTCATTCTCACAGTCAGCCATTCTCACTGTCAGCCATACTCACAGTCAGCCATTCTCACTGCCAGCTATACCTACTCACTGTCAGCCATTCTAACAATCAGCCATACTTACAGTCAAAAATACTCACAGTCAGCCATTCTCACTCTCAGCCATGCTCACAGTAAGCTATACTCACAGTCAGTCACTCTCACTGTCAGCCATACTCACAGTCAGCCATACTCACTGTCAGCCATACTCACTGTCATTCAATCTCACTGTCAGCTATACTTACAGTCAGCTATTCTCACTGCCAGCTATACCTACTTACAATCAGCCATTCTCACTGTCAGCTTTACTCACAGTCAGCCAAACTCACACTCAGCCATTCGTACTGTCAGCTATACTCACAGTCAGCCATACTCACAGTTAGCCATACTCACAGTCAGACATTCTCACTATCAGCCATTCTCACTGTCAGCCATACTTGCAGTCAGCCATACCTACAGTCAGCCATACTCACAGTCAGTCATAATCACAGTCAGCTGTACTAACAGTCAGCCATACTCACAGTCAGCTATACTCACTGTCAGCCATACTCAAAGTCAGCCATATTCACAGTCAGCCATTCTCACTGTGAGCCATACTCACTGTCAGCCATTCTCACTGTCAGCCATACTCACAGTCAGCCATACTTACACTCAGCCATTCTGACTGTCAGCCATACTCACAGTCAGCCATACTCGCAGTCAGCCATACTCACATTCAGCCATTCTCACTCTCAGCTATGCTCACAGTCAGCCATACTCACAGTAAGCCATACTCACAGTCAGTTACTCTCACTGTTAGCCGTACTCATAGTCAGCCATACTGACTGTCCGCCGTACTCACTGTCAGTCATCTTCACTGTCAGCCATACTCAAAGTCAGCCATACTCACACTCAGCCATTCTTACTGTCAGCCGTTCTCACAGTCAGCCATACACACAGTCAGAAATACTCACAGTCAGCCATTCTCAATCTCAGCCATGCTCATAGTAAGCCATACTCACAGTCAGTCTCTCTCACTGTCAGCCATACTCACAGTCAGCCATACTGACTCAGCCATACTCACTGTCAGTCAATCTCACTGTCAGCTATACTCACAGTCAGCCATTCTCACTGCCAGCTATACCTACTCACAGTCAGCCTCTCTCAATGTCAGCTATACTCACAGTCAGCCATACTCACACTCAGCCATTCTCACTGTCAGCTATACTCACAGTCAGCCATACTCACAGTCAGCCATTCTCACTGTCAGCCATTCTCACTGTCAGCCATACTCGCACTCAGCCATACTCGCAGTCAGCCATACTCACAGCTATATTCACAGTCAGCCATACTCACAGTCAGCCATATTCACAGTCAGCCATACTCACTATTACCCATACTCTCAGTCAGCTATTCTCACTGTCAGCCATACTCACAGTCAGCCATACTCACACTCAGCCATTCTCACTGTCAGCCATACTCACACTCAGCCATTCTCACAGTCAGCCGTACTCACAGTCAGCCATACTCACAGTTAGCCATACTCACATTCAGCCATAATCACAGTCAGCCATACTCACTGTTAGCCATACTCACAGTCAGCCATACTGACTGTCAGCCGTACTCACTGTCAGTCATTCATTGTCAGCCATACTCACAGTCAGCCATTCTAACTGCCAGCTATACCTACTCACAGTCAGCTATTCTCTCTGTCAGCCATACTCACAGTCAGCCATACTCACACTCAGCCATTCTCACTGTCAGCCATACTCACAGTCAGCCATACTCACAGTTAGCCATACTCACATTCAGCCATAATCACAGTTAGTCATACTCACTGTTAGCCATACTCACAGTCAGCCATTCTCACTGTCAGCCATACTCAAATTCCAGAATCTACTGTGCGAGTGTGGCCTCCCTCATCCCCCCCCCCCCTATTTTTTTTTACAGCAGCGTATACATTCACTAAATTCCAGAATCTACTGCCCGTATCTATCTGTATACCATGCACCTCTCTTACACTGTAATTCCGTCGGCTCGAGTCAAGTACAGCATACTTCCCTCCCATTCTTCACTGCCTGACCTTGCGCATGTTTGTGGGCTACAGAATGATGATGTCGAGTTTTATATATATATATATATATATATATATATATATATATATATATATATATATATATATATATATATATAGAGAGAGAGAGAGAGAGAGAGAGAGAGAGAGAGAGAGAGAGAGAGCTCATATGCCTGTTTATAATGTCATCGATCAGTACCAAGGCAGTATAGAAATGTATTGCTTGCGGTGGGAACTGCATCTGCTGTGACTGTAAAGTCCAGTGCGGGAGTGCCAGTCTTTGCCATACAAAAAATAAAAATAAAAATTGAAAAAAAACACGTTCGGTTTTTGTAGAATTGTCATAAAATAGTGTGTCAGGAACTGACCCCTTCTTTTTAGCGCTGCGATAATTTCAGTATTCCATTCAAAGCGGCCGGTCTGATGTTTTATTCAAACTACCGAAAACGACATACAGCTTTGGCAAGCACTTCCAACTTTCGGTTATATACACGTTACTTACACATTGTATAGGAAGAATACTCAACTGCATCACGTCTCCATGCAGATTGGTTTGAATCCTTGTGTAAGATTTCAAGCTACCAGTTACTGCGTATGTTCACCGCTGTTGTGTTGTAGGCCAGGGGTGGGGAAATGATGTAGGGTGTTCACTCAGCTTGTGGATGTAGTACCATGAAGCTGGCTATGTTGCCGTGAAGTTTGTTATCATGACATGTGGCAGACATGTAAAAGTAAAGTAAAGGACCCTTTTCCACGCCTTTAGGAGTATAGGGCATATAGGGCTAGACCTATATTTTATAGACAAACAGCACAAGATGGGTAATGTGGTCAGCATCCCGCCGGCCGCCTCTACTTCCCGGGACTGCACTAGGTACCCACACAAGGCTGGGTTGACCTGTGAGCCAAGGTCATGTTAAAAGAAAAGTGCGGCTCCGCCAGGGAGCGAACACATGACTTTCCGATCCGAAGACTTTGAATTCCATCATTTCTAACGCCACCCTGCATGGAGCATCGTCATCTTCATCATGAAAATCATAATCATCATCAGCATCATGGTGCTGGGGCTCATCTCTCTCCACAGATTTCGGTGATCAGTATTCTGAATCAATTCCAGTAATGATACTCCTCCATACAATTACTTCAGGTAGTCAAGCATCGTTTCTCACTTGGACTTCCTCTCTCTTCGACCTTGGATCTTTTCAGCGTCACAATGTTCTCCGGTGCCTCACGACTCATCACATAACGGGAAAAAAAACGACTGCCTCTTTTCTACAGCTGTGTATAGTTTTCTAGTTTCATTAGCTATTCCCAGGAAGTTAATGTTCAAGCCTTTCTCTACCCACTGTACAGGCGTCTCAGAAAGCAAACCTCCACGGCCTCCAGATTCTTCTTGTTCTGTCCGTTCACACTGCAAGAGTCACAATCATACACCAGAACTAGTTCTTTGACAGTAAGAATCAGAAACAACACGTCCGCTCACCACATTGTTAGACTTGCCAGGGAGTTTCGGGTTGTGGTACAGGGGTCCATAAAATGAGGCGATACGAGGGATGGTCAAATCTTTACTTTCCACAAAAACGTAGTCCACGAATCTGGGAAACAACGAAACGTGAAATGAACATACAGAAAACACTTGGGTGGGAGGTAGGACCTCAAACATTTTTTTCTTTTTTTTTTTTAAATAACGATGAGCTGGCAAACAAATGGTTTAAATGCATAATATTTTTAATAATTCCAAATTATTATTATTGTCCCCCCAGTATTCGTTCCGTAGCCCACCTGAGAGGAAAATAAGAACAGACGCACTACCTTCCAAACAAGCATGTCTTAGAAGTCTACTTATTGGGGATATCCTTCGAAATCGGACTGCATTTTCCCGAGGCAAAGAACCAAAAGTCTGCATAAATAACCCAAATCTGTGACACTCTTCTGTTCGCAAAACTTCTGCGACAAAACTAATGTCAGGATGTGGACCAGAACTTCCCATAGAAGTTAACAAACAGTGGAAGCGAAGAATAGGAAGACATAGAAGTGATGAAAAAGCTGGGAGAAAGTAATCACAAACCAGTCATCGTCATGATAGGAGATGTCAATCCTCCAGAAAATAAGAAGAAGATAGCCAGCTGGAACTACAAGAAAGCAGACTGGGGTCTCTACCAACACTTAACTGAAAAGAAACTATCGGAGCCCTTTCCCACAAGTGAGGTTAGGAAAAACACCACAACTCTTAGCAAAATCATACTCGAAGCAGCATACAGATCAATCCCCCGAGGTCGAATGCAAAATTATGAACCCTTCTGGACCCAAGAACTGCAACAACTGCATCAAAGAAGCACTGAAGCAAGAGAAAAAAATGGAACAAGATCCCTCTTACCTCAACATTACAGAACACAATAAACATCAGGCTATTTATAAAAGAGAAAAACTCACATGCATCCGGACAAGATGGCAGGAAAAGACTGCAGCTGTCAACATGGAGAAAGATAGAAAAAAAAGCTATGGCATCTAGTAAAGAGTCTCAATGAGGAGAATAATACCAGCCATGTCAACACTGTCATTGAAGATGGTGGGAAAACTTTCATTGGTAAACAAGCAGCAAACTGCTGGCTGATAGTCTTGCAGAGGAAAGCAAAATCTTCATGTCTAGAGTGAGAGACGAAGAAGTGACGAGAAAACTGAGGAAAATAAATAAAAGGGACCTGGACATGACCGAATAACAAATGAAATGATAGTACACTTAGGACCAGCTGGTAGCCAACTACTGTTAGACATAAACCAATCATAGGCCCAGGGAATACTTCCTAAAGAATGGAAGGAGGCAGAAATAGTTCTCATAGCCAAGAAAGGAAAGCACAAGAAAAACAAATTCAGTTACTGCCCCATAAGCCTCCTAAGCTGCCTTGGAAAGACTATGGAAAGATTAGTGAACAACAGGTTACCTAATTTCCTAGAAGAAAACAAGATATTTGATGACAGCCAATCAGGTTTCAGGAGATACAGAAGCACTGATGACCAAACCTCTTATCTCGCACAGGAAATTGAAGATGTTTTCCAGAAAAAATACAAACTGCTAGTTACTTTCTTTGACCTGCCCAAAGCCTTCGATAAAGTTCTGGAAGAAACTCTTGCTAAAACTAGCCCACTGTGGGAAAAAGGGCATAAGTTTGCCTCGATTCAAGACTTCCTTTACAGATGCTGTACGAGTGTCAGACTGGAAGATCACAAAAGCAAGCTGGTCAGGTTACAAGAAGATGTCCCCCAGGGAGGTGTTATATCTCCTAAACTGTTTATTCTTTTCATCAATGACCTCTTAAAACAGTTCACGACTTACATTCATAAGGCGCTACATGCAGATGACCTGGCCATATGGACTCAAGCTGAACATATAGGAACAATTATAACAAGAATGCAGGAAGCTAAAAATACAGTTAAGAAATGGACAGACTTTTGGGGAATGACAATAAACCAGACCTAAATTGTCTCAACTTTGTTTTCTCTTTCCACAGAGCCAGAAAAAGTGGATCTGTCATAGAAGGCAACATCCTTCCAAAAGAGGATTACCGCAAATATTTAGGAGTAAAATTTGACAAAAGGCTAACCTGGGGCTCCCACATTGAAGACACCCAAAGGAAAGCTACCCTGAGGCTCAGACTTTTGACGAAACTTACTGGAACAAGCTGGGGTGCAGATACCAACACTGTACGACAAGTATACACAGGATACGTAGGACTAAAACTGGAGTATGGCATGGGAGCTTACTCCACTGCAGCCAAATCAAACCTACACAAACTGTATAAAATACAGAACACTGGTCTCTTATCATCACTGGAGGTATGAGAAGTACACCTATTAATGGGCTGGAGGCAACTTGTGGCCTCCAGAGCTTGAGCCTTTGAAGAGAAGAAAAGGTGCTAACCCTAACAGAAAAATGTTAACGCATGAACAACAACCCCATGTACAGAATAGCCACACACACACACAAAAAGAAACGACTGAAAAGACAAAGTTGTCACCATCTATCAAAATTGTACTACACAAAAAACAGTGACATCCTTTCTAAAGATCCTTCAACATGGGAAATGATCCAGGCATACAGCATAGACCTACAGTCTAAATATACAGTCACAACAACATTCCAGGCTTAGGCAGAAGGGCTGAATAATGTGACCTAGGATTGCATGCAAAGACCCTTGAACATGTCTGCAATTGTTATCCAAAACCCGAATGAAACACACGTAAACACTGATGAATCATTGGAGGGAGCAGACAAAAATGGAGGAGCTGGATCGGTCATCATGCTGCAAGATGGGACTACAGTAGAAACGTCATGCGCCTCCGGAAGACTCCCGACAAACTGCAGAGGAGCAAGCAATTATTGATTAGCCAAAGTGCTCGAGGTAAGAACAATAAAAACAGCAAAATTGTTTTCCTTTGTGACTGCATGTCAGTTCTTCAGGCGACTCATAGGGATCCAGGAGACAACATAGAAAGAGAACTGACCCGTCAGCTAATCAGAGTCACAAAAAACAATCAAATCGTTCTTCAGTGGATCCCGGCTCATTGCGGCATACCAGGAAATGAGCTAGCAGACAGACGTGCAAAAAAATGGTACAAAGGAGAAACAATACGCTCATTCATTGTCATTACCAGAAATCAAAACACTTATCAGAGGAAAATACCAAGGATTGTGGAGAGAACAAACTAACAGTAAACATCCACAAGACCCCATCAGCAGACCTAACAGGAAGAATCATACAACAATTTTCCGTCAACGAACAGAATACTGCAGGCTCAACAGGATACTGCAGGCTCAACAGGATACTGCAGGCTCAACAGGATACTGCAGGCTCAACAGAATACTGCAGGCTCAGCAGAATACTGCAGGCTCAACAGGATACTGCAGGCTTAACAGGATACTACAGGCTCAACAGGATACTGCAGGCTCAACAGAATACTGCAGGCTCAACAGGATACTGCAGTCTCAACAGAATACTACAGGCTCAACAGGATACTGCAGGCTCAACAGGATACTGCAGGCTCAACAGGATACTACAGGCTCAACAGGATACTGCAGGCTCAACAGAATACTGCAGGCTCAACAAAATACTGCAGGCTCAACAGGATACTGCAGGCTTAACAGGATACTACAGGCTCAACAGGATACTGCAGGCTCAACAGAATACTGCAGGCTCAACAGGATACTGCAGTCTCAACAGAATACTGCAGGCTCAACAGAATACTGCAGGCTAAAAAGAATACTGCAAGCTCAACAGAATACTGCAGGCTCAACAGGATACTGCAGGCTCAACAGGATACTGCAGGCTCAACAGGATACTGCAGGCTCAACAGAATACTGCAGGCTCAACAGGATACTGCTGTCTCAACAGAATACTGCAGGCTCAACAGAATATTGCAGGCTCAACAGAATACTGCAGGCTCAACAGAATACTGCAGGCTCATCAGAATACTGCAGGCTCACTACCACATGCATAAAATAAAGATTGTACAATCCCCCCAGTATGCCTGTCAAACTGGACCACAAACACACCAGTACATTCTGCAGACTTGCCCACTCTACCTGCAACTTCGAAAAGACACTTGGCCTCAAGAGCAAAGTGTGCAGCGCAAGCTATGGGGAACCTTGCAGGACCTGCAGCTGATATGCGAGTTTATAGAGGCAACCCACCTGAAGGTCTGATTTGAGCATACGAAACCGAACGCAAAGAAGAAGAAGACGGAAGACTATTATTTAAATTATCATTATTAGTATTAATATTATTATTATTATTATTATTATTATTATGATTAATATGATTATTATTATTATTGTTATTAACTATTTACACAGACGTTAATAAACATAATAAACTATTTAAAATTAAATGAAATGCGTAAACACAAACCAAAAAATAGCGTACATTCATTTTTATCACGTAGCTTGATGAGTTTGAACCATAATATCAAAAAGGGGTTTTCCCTTAAACAGTATATCTTCGTCTTTAGCAGTCATTGAACATTTACCTTATTAACTGTACTAGTAATCGTATTATAACTTTGTTCTGCCTGGCCTCTAAAGATTAGCTGTCTGCAAGACCATTCTTTGTTTATCCTTCTAATGCAGTAAGTATGTAAGAGTCAATGAGGCATCGCATCAAGACAAGACTGATCTTTCTGCCATCCGAGTTTGCTTCGTCATTATGAAATTGGCCATGTGCAGAACGTTGCTCTCATTACAGCCCACCTAAAAGAAGTTGTTCCCTCGCCAGCTACCTAAGGTGTCTATTATTTTTGGGCCCATCTTCGTGGTAGTCGACCCCTGCGTTTAGAATCTTACCAGTCCACCGTGGTATCTGATGTTGCTGTCGTGAAATGATAGCCATTACGCATCGGTCTGTAAGGCTGATAACCTGTCTTACCTGTAATCTGCACAAAATTCAAACTTGGACTCGCCCAGAAATATATAGTCCCTTATATCTATATATATAGGCCTGTATTGGACAACATTATTATGTCTGCCTTTTCTGGTTACTTTAACTAAACTCCACTTTTAAATGTATATCTCTTGGAGATATATTTAGGGAGTTATTTGAGG